AATAAAATGACTCTGTATAATGCAGTGGAGTGGAAAAACACCAGAGCAAGAAAAAGAATAATATTAAGCATTCATGAAGCAACGTAAAGGTCTGTATATACTGCAGGGATGTGACAGTGGACTTTTGAGGAGGCTTATTGTTTTATTTTATTTTTTTATGTATGATTAATTATTCCTTTTGGTTCTTTCAACAGGCCGGCTGATGCACCTCTACGCCATCTGTGTGGACTGTCTAGAGGGCGTCCACAAGATTGTCTGCATCAAGTGCAAGTCACGCTGGGATGGGAGCTGGCACCAGCTGGGCACCATGTATACCTACGACATACTGGCTGCTTCACCGTGTTGCCAGGTAGAAACACTGAGGGGCATAGAAGAGCATGCTACTGAAATAAATAGAAAAGAAGAAGAAGAGTAATATGACAGACAAAAGAGATAAGAGCAAAAACCAAAGACCTTCCCCGTATTAGTAATTTCTGACAACAAATAGGTACAGTGACATGATGCTTTATCTCTGCTGGGTGTGTAAGCAGGTGTTTGCTAAGGTTATCAATTTATGAGGTGATAGCAATTCAGTGTTGTGTTTACAGCTTTCTCCTCTGCCACTTTGAGCCAAAAAGTTAATTAAAAAAGCTCTAAACCAAATCTAGAGATTAAACAGCTGCAGCTCCTACAAAGCTGTGACCATGTTACTTGCGGATGCCAACATTTGCTCATGGACACCAAAATAACTGTTAGCACCGATCTGACAAAAGTTAAATGATTCAATACCAATTTAAAAAGTCAGACAACGTATAACTCATTTTCTGAACTACTGACTCCACGTTGTTAATATAAAGTTTTGTTTGTCTGACTTGAAATTGGATTATTAAATCTTCCTTTCTGGGGTTAAATAATCTCAATAGAAGCTCCGCTTACCTGCTTTTTAGTGGAAATGGATTGTTTTTGGCTTTGCAAATTCAAATTTTATTGAACATACCTCCCAATGATAACCATGTTTTTGCAGAAATAAAACAAACCTTAAAAAACACTGTTCTAAACTATTATGCACAATAGAGTTTCAAAACATTTTATTGGTTGTAAAGAACTGAAAATGGTCATTTGTTGAATTTGCAGTATTAGGAGGTCACATTTACTAAAAACCAAAAGCTATTTCTATCAAAAACAAAAGTCCTTTTTTGATATAACCTTCACAAGTCCTGCATCCATTGAACTTGTGAGTTTTTGGAGAGTTCCTGCTTGAATTTCTTTGCAAGATGTCAGAATAGCCTCCCACAGCTGCTGTTTTGATGTGAACTGCCTCCCACCCTCATAGATCTTTTGCTTGAGGATGGTCCAGAGGTTCTCAATAGGGTGGAGGTCAGGGGAGGATGGGGGCCACAGCATGAATTTCTCTCCTTTTATGCCCAGAGCAGCCAGTGCCACAGAGGTATTCGTTGCAGGATGAGATGGTGCATTGTCATGCATGACGATAGGAAGAAACTCTACATACCAGTATTTTGCAGAGGTCATTTTCACACCTTTGGGCATCCTAAAGGGGGCTACCAGCTCTCTCCCCATGATTCCTAACCTTAACCCAGGGTTGCACGACACCCATTAGTTTGGAAGACTGTTTGAAAATGAATCTTGATGTATTTCTGCTTGTGGGAGATGGCATTTTAACAGCTGCTCTCTTAATCTGATGAATTTCTCTGGCAGAAACCTTCCTCATTAACCCATCTGTGCTCTGAATCAGCCACAAAATTTTTCACAGTACAATAATCGCTTAAGTTTTTGTGTCGTATTGAATGTATTCATACCTTGTCCAAAGCATTCTACTATTTGACACTTTTCTGCAGCGGAGAAATCCTTTTTTCCCCATGTTGCATGGAACCTGTGGTATGCTTAATAATTTGGAACATCCTTTTTAGCTAGTTTTCCTTTAATTGAGCTTGCCTGGCAACCTAATTATGAAAGCTGTCTGAGATTCATATCAGTGATCCAAAGAGCCCTGAGACACAATACCATCCACAAGTTTAACTGAAAACAACAAACTGGATGTTTGCATAATTTGGAATATGGTGTATAATATTTTTATTGCATTACCTGCATCTACAAAGTATCTACCAAATAGCAAAAAACCCACAGCATTTGTTTGCTAATTGTAGCGCTTAATTTGTTACCAATTCATAGCAACAGCTATCCCAAGGCTCTAGAAATGTTAAGGCAATTTTAAACCCCAAAAGTCGGACGATCTCCTACAACCAAGAACTTGGCAACATAGGAAACGAAAAACTCCCTTTTTAACAGAAAGAACCCTGCCGCAGAACCAAGATCAGGGAGCTACAGCCATCTGCTGCAAACTATTGGAGCATGAGGCGAAATAAAAAGGTGAAAAACAGGAGCGTAGAGAGACCGTGAATGACAAAATACAAAACACAAACTACAGGAGAGAGTAGACTGACGTTAATGTCATGAAATAGTGGCATCTAAACACATGGGGAAGAGAAATGCTCATTGCATCATGGAAAGTCCCCTAGCAGCCAGTTTGAGCCTGTCCTAACTATAAGCTTTATCAAAAAGGTGTTTGTCTCCTGAATCCACTGGAAGCTGGTTCCATGGAAGAAGAGCCTAATAGCTAGATAACCTACGCTAGTCTAAAAATAGTGATTGTATTATAGTAGTAAAAGTGCATCCAGTCTGTTATCTAGTTTCACCGTCACTTTTTGCATCTAAAGACCCATTTAAAGCTGCTTGGACCCTTGAATTAACATGATTTTGTCACACTTAGATCCCAGGGAGTCACGAGTGAACCTCCATGCTGATATCTTGCCTCTTTCCAGCCTCTTGTTTGCTGACCTGTGTCCTGTATGTCCTCAGGCCCGTCTGAACTGTAAGCACTGCGGGAAACCGGTGGTGGACGTTCGAGTCGGGATGCAGTATTTCTCCGAGTACAGCAACGTCCAGCAGTGCCCCCACTGCGGCAACCTGGACTATCACTTTGTTAAACCTTTCTCCTCCTACAAAGTTCTTGAGGCTTATTGACAAATGTTGCTCTTGCATGCTAGTTGAGCTGCTTTTTGTTTGTTTGTTTTTTTCTAACACAATCTAGGAAAGATTTTATTTTTTGGGGCCTTAAGGAGGCTTTTAAGTTCTCTCTCTTTTGATTTCACGATTTCAGTTTTTTTTTAAATGTATAGGAAATGTATGATTCTAGTTAGAGAAAAATTCCATGGCAGTATCTCTGCGGTTAGAGATAAGTGTTGATGAAAGTGTTGCACTGACATTTCAGTCAAGCAAACACATTTATCCGTGACGAGTGAATGTATCTGTATGCCAAATTTACTTTTATTTTTTACCAAAAACAATCTTGAATAAAGCTGAGAGAGATAGACACTGGTGCTGGTTTGGTGTGCTCCTCTTTGTTAAAGCAGCTTTTGATAAGAATATGTTCTATCTTGATTAAAAACGTCATAAATAAAATGTACACCTTTTACTCTATGACAGATTCATCAGTTTATAAGTCTGGTATTACCATGTAGTATGTTCCTATCTGAGCTGTGAACATCTTAGAAAACTTGTACACTACATCCTAAGAGACCAACCTGATGTACACTGTGTCAACGATTTCCACATATTTTTTTCTCCCTTTTAAAAGGATTATGTTCTTCATGACTTTACTGAAGACTTGTAGGATGTCTGACAGGGAGCAGCCATGATGGAGGTCTTTGTTTTATATATATATATATATATATATATATATATATATATATATATATATATATATATATCGTATATATATATATATATATATTCCAGCGATAACTACAAATGTTAGGTGAAAATTGCAGGCAGTGGTTTCAGTGGACACTTTTCAGTAACATGGGCCTGTGTCATGTTAACACAGACCAGTTATATCCCATATTTTTAACACTATTCTCGTCTGACAACAAACACTGTCTGCACGCTGCCATCTCTCAAACATAAAATAACCATTTCTTGGTTAAACAAAAGCAACGTTGACTTACTGCACTACCGTGTGGTAGAAACAGGTACAACCGGACCTCAGTTTGATTTCAGCTGATCTCACTTCAATATAGATTTTGGACATGAAGTCATTTCTTCACGTCGTGTTGATGGTTTTAGTGAGTTTTTGCGAATTTAAAATGACTTTTAAACTCAGACATTTACAAAAACTAATTTCAAGTTCCCGTCATAGCTTCACAATAAGAAAACATTGAAGACATGTTGATTTGCTCAAGAAGATCTTATAAATGAATCCAGATGCAGATTCATCCCGTATCTGGAACGCTGCAGTGTACACATAACTTTAAGTCAAAACCTGCACGTTTCAGCCTCTCAAAAATGCCCTTAATCCATTTATTCATAATTAGAAAACAACAGCCTTCCCCCTCACATGGAGGCCAACAAATAAGATGTATAATTGTTTTTTACTGTGTTGCATTTCTGCATTTCTCACTGCTTTTATCTGTCTATGTTTGTTTCGCCCTCTGTTCATATTGCTTAATCTTGCTTTTATTGCAAGTGTTTCTTGCTGTATTATTTCATTTTTATTGTTTAATTCATACACATTTTCTCCTATTTTAAGTCTTGTGTTTACCTTGTTGTTACCTTGTGTTTAAAGCTATGTTTTATCTGTTTTGAATCGTTTTGTGTCTCTTTTTGATGTCTTTTTTGTCACTTTTGTGTTTATTTTACATGTGCTTCTAGTCATTTTGCCTTTTGGTGGCTGCCTACATGAAATATTTTGTGTATGTCTACATTTTGTGCGTTTGTATCTCATTATGTTTCACTGTTATTTTGTTGTTTGCAGTTTTCTGTACAGTCATTTTGTGGCTCTGTCAAGCAATTTTGCGTTTGTGTTTGTGTCTACTTGGCCAAAAGTTACATGACCGCCTGGTCTTGTATCCCGTGGGACCTCCATGCCCTGGGTTATAAACTTTTAAACTACAAAGTCTGATTGATGAAACAAGTTGTGGCAGTAGGCACAGACTCCAACTTGCTTTTGTGAAAAAGTTTTATTTCTGTCACATCAGTGCTGTGTGGACCCTTGTGTTGTGTCCGTGCTGCCAACAGGAGACGTTTCACTCTGAGCGGCCTCTGAAGTGGAGTTGGCAGGCTGTGCTTCTGCAGCCTTGTTCTTTCCTTTTTGTGACAGTTCCTTTGCTGAAGGCGGTCGGAGGATGCACACGGCTGCTTGGCCATCACGTATCACTTTTGGCCTTGAGACAAATCCCACCATTACTTCTATTTGTTCCACGATTTGCTCCAGAGTGGCATCCTGTGGAAAGAAAACACAAAGATGTTTCTGCATAAAAAGCTTTTAAGGAAGAAAAAAAACAAACCTAAATGCGAAAGTAATTTTTACTGGAATATGAGCAATACTGAGTTTTTACTGAGGATTTTACTTACTCATATTTTACTTTAATGTTTTTGCTATAAACAGCCCTAAATTGCTGTGCAAAGTTTTGTTTAAGTAATTAAGCAAGACTTACATCTAAATATTTCTGAACCAATAACAGGGATTTAAAAAAAATACATTAGCTTATTGCTAAATAAGCTCCTTACTGTATTTGAAACGACACAGGGGACTTCTCTGAGAAGCCAGAAATTAATCAAGCAAAACAATTAATCTCTAAAACTAATTTTTTTGTTCATCAATACAATTGAATAATTGTAATTTGGCAACTTAATCAAATAATAGCGTGCTTTGCCCATTTCTCCGCTTTTTTGTGAAATAATGAATTTGAAAATTGACATAGTGGTGGATTAACCACTGCAACCATATATGTATATACATTTGTTATGTTATATTAGTCACAACTCAGACCCTTACTGAATAAAAGAATAATCAAGGAATTCGCTCAGGTTTATAGGCGTTCTTCCTCACCAGGTTAACTGCAGATTCACGACGTACTGCCCGCAGAGTGATCTTCACATGGTGTTTCTTTTCCAGCCAGCTCTCCACCTGCTTCAGCTTTGTGGTGAGGTCATGAGACGCTATGCCACCTGAAAAGCTGAGCTCCTTCACCTGCACAGGAACTGGAGCAGAAAAAACAACGATTTTTGGACTTACAGCTGCTTGTCAACCTGTCATCCCAAAAGTACTTTTCTAAAGTCTATGACAATTTCAAGCAAAGAGCATGACTTTGGTGTAATGTAACTCTTTATTTCTTGAACCGTCCTTAAACTGACCTAAGTAATGCCTCTTTTCTCATTTCTCAGTTTGTACATCCCCAGTTCCTTTCCTCACATCCTCTCCTGGAGCCATATTTCCCCAGCGAGGACAAAGAAGGAATGCAAGGAGAGAGAACTGGCTGTGTGCCATGCCTCGCTAATATGTTCAAGGTGAAAACACTTCTGCAAAGGATACACCTGAGCATCCTCAATTATAGCTCCTCTGCCTTACCTCCCCTGTCCTCTGTCCTTCATATACATTTTAGACATCCTTCAACATAATGTCTGGGTTGAAGGCAGTAGGATAGAGAGCAATGAGAAAAGCATCTGGTAACCATCTACCTGCTTTCGCTTTCTTCTTCTCCCGCATTTTTAGTTGCTCCTCGTGGATCTGTTTGCCGCTCATCAGCTGGTAGACTGGTGGGTCTTTGTGCTCACTGAGTAGCACTAACTTGAGACCCTCCTCATCCATCATTCTGATGACGTCTGCACGGTGCATGACGCCCAGGTTCTCACCAGCTGCACTTATCACCTGTATCTGACGCTCAGGGATCCTACGGCCGATGCTGCTGATCGAGGCATTTGCTCGGGGATCTTGCTTTTTCTTCTTTGGCGTGGCTGGAGTTTGTTCTGTATTGTGTACTTCAGTGGAGAAAGCAGACTGTCTCCAAGAGGCAGCGATGATATTACATCTTTTGCTGCATATTGTAAATCTTAAGGCTGGTGGCGTATACACGGGACTCCCACCACACACCGTTCTCACTGCATGGCTTAGCACCCATCTTACACAGCCTGCAGACATATCCTAAGCCTTAAGAAAAAAATGATGAGATTATTCGACAGTGCATTCACAATTTAAGAACTAATATCACAAAGCTCAACATCAAACACAATTTAAACATCAAGTCTTTCAAGCGAAAAAAACTGTTTAATTATCCAGTTTTCATAATCGAGCCAGCCTCCATTCGAAAATAGTCGAATTTAATTTTCTTTGCTTGTTTTACTTTTACTTGTTACTGAACAAACCACACAAGTTACGAGTAAAATCACTTTCGGGGTCCCATCTGTCATTCGGGATACATCAGCTTTGTTTCATCCCTTGACTTTGGGCATTTTACACTGGGACAATGGATAGTCTGGCAAACTGGAATGCGATGGTAGCTAGAAAACCTTGATTATTTGCGAAGTATATAAGAGTGAATGTCTTTTAATGAGTGTGAAATTAGCACATAAGTGTCTGGTGTGTTACAGTTCACAGAGAAAAGGAATGCACTTCGGGTTGGTTGTCATTAAGTGTCCTAGACAGAGCTGTTTGTCTGTGGAGCCAGCGGGTTACAAACATCAATGCATGCATTAATTAGAGAAGCGCAAGAATCCAGACAGAAACTAAACCTCCCCGTTTTATCTCCTGCAGTACGTTTTTGCTACTCACTCGTGTCAGTGCCGTTTATTATTGCTCTCCGCATCAGGGTGACTACTGTAACTCCTTCCGCCATGCACTTCTTCGTTTACTTTGTCTCAAATAACTCCTATACTGCCCTCATGAGGAAAACCTAGGACACTACACTCAAATCCTTGCTAACACCGATGTTTCTATTTCTTTTGTTTTTGTAATGTCTAATAGCTTTGCTTATGTTGGTAAATGCACTGTAGTGAACTGGATTTATGAGGCTGTTGCACCTTCTCCCTTTTTGACAGATTACAGGGGGAAAGTCACAACATTAACAACAGTTTAAATTCCTACAATCACCTTTTGGCAAATACTTTTTTGGCAGCTGATCATTTTCCATGATGTGACTCTCCCGTTCCACTGCATCCTAAAGGTGCTCTATTGGAATGAAATCTGGTGGTTATGGAGGCCATCTGAGTACAGTGAACCCTCAGTCATGTTCAAGAAACCATTGTGAGAATACTGAAACCTTGCAATATGCTGGATGCAGTCATTAGAAGATGGTTACAGTGTGGTCACAAAGAGATGGACATGGTTAGCAACAATACCCAAGGTCGGCTGTGGTGTTTAAAGAATGCTTGATTGGTACTAAGGGCCCTTTAGTGTGCCAAGAAAATGTTCCCCACACACTACGACCGGCTGCTGTAGCCTGTCTGTTTTTGGTGTGATGTGTTGTATGTTCAAAGATGCTCTTCTGCTGCAACCAGTGGTTAATTCAGTTACTGCTGCCTTCCTATCAAATCAAAGTGATTTTTATTTTCTTCTGCAAATCAGTAAATCTAAATATAGTTTTAATTGTATATGAGAAAATATTTTTGTGACGTTATGTGCTAAGTTGAAGGCATTGTATACGTTTTTATTGTTCAAATTTAGATTATGAGGAAATGATTAAGACGTAAACCTAAGAGGGTAGGGCTAAATAAGTATATACTTCTGCCTACAACTTTTCAAACAACTGCATGGAATTATATTATGAAATGTTGGTGAACGTATATGTTTGAAATAAAAATGAACTGAACTGAGCTCTGTTAGAAATCCTAGCAGATCAACAGTTTCTGGAATAATCTGACCAGCCTGTCTGGGACCAACAGCCATGCCATGTTTGAAGTCACTTAAATCACCTTAGTTTCCTATTCTGATGCTCAGTTCGATTCAGTGTTAGACTTTCTGCCACCATCTACTAGAGGCTGACTAAAGTGTGCAACCAGTCTAAGGAGTGTGATTATAGTTTTTGTGAATTTATATGTGACTTGGCAGTAACAGATGTATGCCTGTGTGATGCACTCATGCAGTCTATGGATGCAGTTTGCTAATAAAGCTTGCCAGTTTTAGAACTCAAACATGGACCACATTAAAAAAAATTGCCCTTGCTTTCAGGTAAAATCAATCCAAATTTACTTAAAACTGCTTTTTAAAAAAATAATAAAAAATTGCCAACAGGGGACGAGTCCTGTGGTTATAAAAGACTAAAGAGAAAATGGCCTTTGGCTCATTTGCTTTGTGATAAGAGTAAACACCTTTGCTGATAAGCTTATAGGCTCAAATACTAGTGTCAAGTTTTACTGATTAAAACATGGTATTCATTTTATTATTGGTCCTCATTATTGATAGAGAGGCGGTTACAAATACAAATTTTTATTTGTCACTTACACAGTACAACATATAGTGAAATGCTTCTGTCCTGAACTGCAGGCAGGCTGCGCCTCTCCAGGGCTGGTTTTTAGCATGGAGGGAATTGAACAGGCGTGTATCTTACCACTACACTGTCCAGCTGCTATAAAGTAAGTGGCTCCACTGGGGCTTGAACCCAGGACCTTCTGCATGTAAAGCAGAAATGATAACCGCTACACTATGGAACCAGAAGAATACAGCTTCCCTTCGTCGCTCATCCGCATTCTACTGTGCATGCATGGAATAATATGTCTTTTATTTAGTGTAATAACATTTTCATATCTGTCCATGTGAGTGTTTGCAAGAGTCTTCTAGCTTATATTTGCTCTTTTCAGTCATTTTGATGTTTATCTATTAATGCAAGAAAAAGTGTTGCTTTGTAGCTGCTGATAAACGCTCCTCTGTGTGTGGCATAGAGGGGGATTTGGCTAAACATTGACTACATGTGTGCTGTTTTGTGCTGGACAGGAAGTGTTCGGTGTGCTTCCAAGAGTTTATGTGCTCAACAGGTACATACTTTGCCTGTTATTTGTTTATGTGTCACTGTTGGTATACGAAGAGTTGCGTGCCACACTATTTCTTGACTGGAAAAAGTCACTCCGTGGACTGTTAATACCAGGTTACACTAACCTGACTGGAGACAGTGCACAGATAATGTGAGGTTTTCATCATCCAGTCTAATACTGAGACCCTGAGGCTTTTAGTGAGCGTGGGAACTGAAACATAAACTCATAAATCTAAAAGTTAACATGTTTATTTCAGACAGCACAGGCAACTGGTAAGCAAAGAAAATGCAAACTAATTCCAGCTCAACAACTCCACTTAACCACAACAGCATGCAAATATTGTTACCAAGAAAAAACAAAATACAAAATGTAAATGATTTTGTGTATATAAGATACTACTATAAATACATCAGCAGCAAGAGCTTATCAGCATTCAGCCCCTATGGGCCCCTTTTTTAGAAGTAAGCAGAAATGGAAATAACTGGCATCCATGTGGGAATTGCCAGACAGTCAAATTCCCAGTCACACTGACTACAATAACAGCAGTAACTTCAAATGTTGAGAAAGAGAGGTTCAAAATTAAATTCAATGGAATACCTTCGGGTTATTTGTGCAAATATGAAATGTCTGCCTTTTTTGGAAAGCCAACAAAATTCCGACAATGTTTTTCCAAGAAATTCTTTCATTCTCAGGATGCTTTAAATACTGTTTGGCAGATGTGTGCCTTACAAGAGTCATCTTCTACCTTCTAAGGCTGTATAACATGAGTGTTGGGCTCTTAGTCACATCACTGAGGGTCGTTATTGCTCCATCCACTGCCGGTTCAGATAGAGGGGGAGGAGGTGGAGGTGGTCAACAAGTACAAGTACCTCGGGCTGTGGGTGGACAATAAACTGGACTGGTCATGCAACACAGAGCACCTGTATAAAAAAGCCCAAAGCCGACTGTACTTCCTCAGGAGGCTGAGGTCTTTTAACATCTGCAGGAAGCTCCTGAGGATGTTTTACCAGTCAGGGGTTGCTGGAGTACTTTTCTATGCTGTGGTGTGCTGGGGGAGCAGCACAGCAAAGAAGAGCGTTCTCACTCCCGAGGCGTAACATGTCGACGTTTTGTCACGTCCCGCGGCGTTCCTGAGGAACGCGAAAGGAGACCTTCGGCGTTCTTATGGTACGCGGCGGGTTATGGCTGGAATCCAGTGCAATGACGCTCCCGCGGTAATAGACGTTCCAGCCCTGTATTCCAGCCCTAAACCTAACCTTATCCCTAGCCCTGACCATAACCTTATTCCTGACCTTAACCAGGACTTTAATGATGTTAAATAGCGTGTTTCTAAGCGATTTGAAGAAAAAGAGCGAACATGTGTAGGTTCAGTCCAGACGGTTCTCATATTTCCTCTTTTTCCGAGGTCGTCATTTAGGAACGTGGTGGGTAGCCGAAAACGTAATATGTTGACGATTTGTCACCTAGCGTAAAATGTTACGCTTTGGGAGTGAGAACGGGGCAAAGAAGGACTCATCCAGGCTGGAGAAACTGATCAGGAAGGCTAGCTCTGTGGTCGGCATGAAGCTGGACACTCTGGTGACAGTGGCAGAGAAAAGGACATTAAAGAAACTGATGGACATTATGGACAATGCTGGGCATCCTCTGCACACGGCCATTAACAACCAGAAGAGTCTGTTCAGTGACAGGTTGCTTCTCCCCAAGACAAGAACTAACAGACTTAAAAACTCCTTTGTCCCACACGCCATCAAACTGTTTAACTCCTCTCTGGAGGGGAGAGGGAGGGGAGACAGGAGGACAAAGGAGGGGGGAACAACTAAGCTGTAGTGCCTCTTCACCTCACTGTGCAATACCTTTTGTGCAATACTTTTTGTTAATAGTCAACAGTGCAATAGACCTCAATACTTGAAATGTGCAATTCACTTGTATTTTTATTTTTATTCCTATTTATTCTATTTATCCCCTTCGTATATTTTATTTACATATGTTGTGTGTGTGTGTGTGTATATATATATTCTGTAACTCTGTAACTTTTGTTGGTGCTGTGCTTTTGGAAACCGAATTTCCCAGAGGAACCCACCCGAGGGATTAATAAAGTTTTATCTTATCTTATCTTATCTTATCTTATCTTATCTTATCTTATCTTATCTTATCTTATCTTATTAACAGCACAGATTTCTTCTATCTTCCACTGATGCTGTTGAAGTGGTTTTCTACCCTCCCCCGATCTATACCTCCATCACAGTTTCATCATGGAAGTCTACAGAGTGAAATCTTATATACACTGTGACTTTATAACTGATGGGTAGTTGATTAATGATGTCACATTAGGAAGCTGTTACATTTCAAGACAAGTTGCAGCCAACCCCAATTTGAGGTGCCACCGCAAACGATCTCCACACTTTGTTAAAGAATATAGTTGATCTTCTGATTTTTAAATGGCACGGCCAATAAAATGCTACAAATCTGAGCACATTTTCCCTTGGTCATTATGAGATAGCCGTCACAATTCATCCAGCTGTTTCTGTCAGCAGTCACATCATCATCATTGTGCCCGTACCGTAACATTACGGCAAAATTTATATGCACCACAAATGAAGATGATGCAATACATACATACATGTATACATATACTGGCGCAGTATATTTTGGATCATGGACTATTACTTTCCTGCTGTATACTTTTCTTATCATCCTAGGGCGAGTTAATCTTCGTTTTTCTTTTCAAAACTAGACAGATGCTTTCTAATCAGTGATTTGTACCTCACTGCAAAATCACAGTATGTACATTCATGAAGGTGTCTGCAGATTATAGTTAGCTATAGATTATAGATTATAGTTTATTTTCATAGTTAGAGTAATTATAATCCTGAAATTTTGACTTTCTCTCTGATAGGTTTGTTGTGTTTTTTCAGCCTAATGATGGTCTTTAAAAAAAAAGTTTAATAGTTAAAAATCAGCTCCAGATATTTTAACTGCTTCATTTGTAATGAAATGACAAGGAAACTGAGCTCGCGTGGCCATAAAACCACTTGTTACTTTTGAGCCGCACTGAAAATAAGAGGAAATATATAAAAATGGCTGTAATTCATTAACAGTTAATGAAATACTTTTGTCAGACCTTTATAATTATGGGCAAAAATCAGGGCTTTGATCACATCCTAAATGTTCTCTGTGGTGGTGTCCAGAGGCCAAATATTTAGCCCAAAGAATTTGGACTAAATATTGCAATATTCATATAGTTGTGTCAATAAATGTGGTTTACTGAGCAAAACAGGTCAAATCTTTCATTTTCCACCCACTGTGATACTGATTTTAATGTCACACCTTTGAAAACGTTTGAGGTTGTTTGTGACGCAGACTTGTTTCCAAAAATATAGATTGACACTGAAACTGATAACCTCCGCTTTGTTGTTAAAGGCCATGGTCGGGTCTTTACTCCGAGTTTTAATTTAGCTCATTGTAGTTTTTTGTGAATAACATTATTTATGTTTCCATTAAACTTGGCAACACAGATAGCATCTGAGCTGTTAAATAATATGAACATATTTCATCTGCTTGAAATGATGAGAAATGATCACTTATGAGAGTTTTAGGAAACAAATCCTCCTGAAAGGTTACGCTTTTAACACGTCTTCAATGGAAAAATGATGCTGTATGCACAACATGATAACAGCCAGTGTGCAGCTCACAAAATTAGACCTGGATCCTCATCCAAGCACATCACAGTTCCTATGCCTGCTTTGCATAGCACACTCAAGTCTGATGACATATTCAGAAACTGAATTTGCAAGACAAAATTTGTGCAGTGGGTATCTACCCAAAGTTTGATAACAAGTGCACATTGCCAGAGGTTCAGTTCCTCTCCAGGTGCTCTGCTGACTAATGATTTGACTTCAGCCAGGGAAAGGTAAAAAATGAAATGCTTGGGGCATCTTTGGCTGAAAGTTCCTTTTTAAAAATGGCTTTTGAACTTTTTGAACTTGGTATATGTTAACTGCAGGACTGAATGAGTCACACATCCTGACTCACATCACATCCCATCCAAACATGACTCGGCTCAGTTGGACTGCTTTGGTTTTGTTAATGAGCATTTTGCAGGGTCCAGGTGAGTACATGAATTCTGCTGAATCTTTACAGGACATTTGTTATCTTAGCTAAACGTTCAGCAAGTGCTAGTGTATCACAATTCATTTTTCTTTAAATGAATTATACTTTTGAAACAAGACGACCAAAAATTTTGAATATCACAAGTTCAACTGTAGTAGCTATAATGTCAGTGTTAACTAAATCGATAAAAATATTTGTCAATTTTTATTTCAGGGTCATCCAATTCTGGACATGACTGTTCAACAAATGGAAATTCCAATAAAAATAATTTCATGGATATCAGAAACTGTTTCAAGCAGAAAAAAAGTTTTGTTGTTGTCGATAGTTTCTATGTCAATATCAATGCAACAAACTACTGGGGACAGAGTAAGTCAAATACACATTTCAGTTACAACTGCTTCTCATTTTTCACAAGTTGCAATGAAATGAGATTCTCTGTTTTTGCAATCACCGTGCAATCGCAAGTTCTGGGAACTTTGATTGGAAATGCAACATATAACGAACATTTCGGTTTGACATTTTAATATGAGACCTGGTTCGACAAGACTTTATGGAGATTAATTCATTTAAAGGAGCCTTTTGATGTGTTATAATCAGGTAACTTGAACAGGTTACTTAAGCATGTTGGGACAAACTCCAAGTTTACATGAACTTGAAGTGCAACACATTTACATGGATGTTTTGTCCTGTGTGAGATGCCTCATCCCTGTAAATGCACTTTATTTAGACCTTGTTAAAATGTCAATCCAATAAAATTCTGAAAGTGTTTTTTTTTCTAGATATTGATTTATAGTTGTTAAGGCATGTAAAAGATTTAAATGTATTAAAAACGCACACTGTTCTTTGCCTTTACAGCAAAAGACAATTGCATAGTATTTGTAGAGACAAACGGAACTGCACCGGGTGAGTCCAGCTTAGTTTCATATTGTTTTAGTTGCCAATATTTGACTTTCTAATCAGCATTTTAGCAAATAAAAATATATCTGAATGTTGTTTTTTAATGCCAGAAATATATAAAAGCAGCATTCCGGACATTCCGAAAATTAAAAACAATGGCAGCATTTTGAAACTTCACATTTCAAAATGGCATATAGATCAACGTGTGCATATGTACGTTCTGTATGGGACATTCTGCAACGGCACACAATTGAACTTTACAGGTAAAACAACTCTTCAGTATTTTATATTTTCAAACTTCTTGTTTTTTCAGCATTGTTAGCAAATTTAAAAAAAATTAAAAAATGATAAAATATGATAAATGATAAAATAAAAAAATATCTAATTAACCAAACATTTTTGTCATCCAGATCCAGCAAACTGTGTCTTCAATACCATAGACACAGGTAAATTCATATCAATGAAAAGATAAAATGCAGAGCTAATAGGAAACATTTAAAAGTTGAAATCTTGAAAATAAGGATTAGAATGCAATGTTAATTTTTTTTTCTCCTGCCTTTCTTTCTCTGATTGTGGTGGTAAAATCTGACAAAATAATGCTGAAGAGTTATGTCACATCAGATGTATCGATACAAACACGGTGTGTAAAAAATCTGCCTATGATAAAGAAGAATGCAGTACCATGGGTAAGTTTAGATAAGTGCAGGCAAGTATCACACTTTCATAATAGCCATTTTTCCTGATGAGTGCACAATGAATCGGACAAATCTTGCCTAACAGAGTCTTTGCATTACGCATCATTTGATTAAATAAAATTCATATAAGTAAAATGCTGAGAGTAAAATAACACCTTCCTTTATATTTTGTTAAATGTTGAGTTCTTAAGTTTAAACCTAAATTCTCCACCTTCCAGCTCCAAATCTCAAGAATGAATACATAATCGACATAAACTCAACAACCACCAACTGTATAAACTGTAACAATCCAGTGAAAAAGCCTGAGGAGAAAAAAGTACTTAATACAACACTTTCTGAAAAAGGAGGAGAAATTATTCCTGCAAATGCCGCGTAAGACACACTCACTTACCAAATGATATACTGCATGTATTCGTCATTTATTTTCTATTGAGTTATTTAAAAAGATCTATATCTAGAAGATCTAAATCTGAGTTTTCCACTCGGTTTTTCTCATTTTCCACTCACTGTCTAGTTTTGCTTTCACTTGTTACTTAGATTTAGGCACTACTACCTACTGGGCTCAGGATCAGTAAACCTTACTATTGAACTGAAGAGTTGAAAGTGATCTCCATATCTCACTAATACAATTAAACTGTACGTCACACATCGCTGCCAAAAAACAACTTACGTGTAAGACATTCCAGCAGCTTTGAAAAACTCCTATATTATTTTCCCCAGAAGGAAAATGCTGAAAAGTTTAATTTGGTTTTTGACATTTAACCCCCCCCCCACTGTAAAACATGTTTTTTTAAAAACTGATTTTACGTACAGCATCTTACATTTATAGTATAATATAGAAATGTTCTCACATCTGTCTACAGTAAACTAATGAATGACATGGGCAACTTGGCCGCCAACATAAATGGATCTTCAGCTGAAATATCTGTAGGAGAAGGAGTCAAAGGAGTTTTGGTGAAAGAAACACATAAAGACGAAGTAGAAGAAGTATTATTTGCTTATCAGTCTCCAAATGACAGCATAAATGTAGGTGGAATTAAATTTATTTTGCCTTTTACACGTTCTATTGTTCTGTCCTAGCATTTCCTCCACTAAAATCCCAGCAGTAGCGGGTTCCCAAAATGTCATTGCTTCGATTTAAGATTTACCTAGAAATCATGACACCTACAAACTGGAAGGGGCCTTTGCCCATAATTGCATGTAATCCTACGACTTCCTTTTTATTATAGATTTTTTTGTACAATTGAAACAGTTACAGCAACTAAAAACAACAGTTAAGATTATTATGTAGTTATTACAGTATGTTCAAGTTACCGCTTCACATTGCAGATTTTTGTGGTATTTTGAGTAAGATCCAGGTAAATATGCACTGAGCCTGACACTTTCTGTGTTCTTTCCTGCAGATTATAGACAACACAGAAACTTTGAAAAATTTTTCAAGAGCCGTTACACTGCCAAAAGAAGCTTTTGATAAAGCTATTGCTCAAAACGTCAGTATCCCATTTGCAGCTCTTTTCCGATTTATTAATATGGCTAAGGTAAGGGGCTACAGGCTAATTCAAATGTAAAATTTCCTGTTCAGTGATGGATTGACCATAAGTTGATTTTTCAGGATGAGAAGAACAGTACTGTTTTAGGGAATGAAGTTTTAGCCATTGAAATGGGAGCTGCTATCGCCAACCTCACAGACAAAATAAACATTGTTTTTACGAATATGACATATGTAAGTGAAAAGTTTGGGTCTTTTGGGTCTTTTTTTCTATTTTGTTTTCCATTTTAAGAGCATAAATTCATTAATTTTCTGTTGATTTGTTTGCAGAGAGGGATACCATCTTGTCATTCATGGAATGGTCAAGGTAGCTTCTCTGCTTCATTTGCACATTGACATAAGGCATTTACAGTTTTGTGTGTTACATATTATTTATGTATTGCTGAGAAAAGCTGAGCAAAAAGTTTCTTCTCTACATTATTTAAGAGAGAAGTGTTACAGTCTTAAGTGATCAGCTCAATGATGACGCCAGTGAATTCTGAGCCCACTCTCTGTAAAAGTCCAAAATATGTACAGAAAAACACTGTATTTGCTTGTATTGGTAGACACATATTTTCAGGACAGTCAACACAATTTTGTAACTCTCGTATTTCAGGAGGAAGCATACACTCATCAGCCATGTCATTAGTTACGCTTTGTCTTGATAATACTGGCTTTGAGCAGTCTTATTTCTTCATGGCATAGATTCCACGAGTCGCTCGACACATTCTCCTGAGATTTTGGTTCGCACTGGCGTCACACAATTGCTACCGATTTTTTGGCTGTTCATCCATGATGTGAATCTCACATCTCATCTCACAACATCCCAAAGGTGCCCTATGGGACTGGGATTTGGTGACTATGGAGTCCATTTGAGTAAAGTGAATTTATTGTCAGAGCCGATCTTCTGCATATATACTCTGACCGGCCTACGTGACATCAACAACAATGCCACATTCAAAGTCACTTAAATCACCTTTCTTCCACATTCTCATGCTCGGTTTCAGGTCATCTCTCTATGCTTAAATGCACTAGATGCCTGCCATGGGACTAGATATTTGCATAAATAAGAATAAAAGGGCATGATTTTTTTTCTATCCCTAAACGAGTAGTTTTTATATCCTAAAGCTAATCAAGTTAGCATTTAATGCTAATTAACAATGTATTATTAATTAATCGTATGGAAAAATATGAAACAACTCCAACCTTTAGTTTTTAAATGTGGAAAATATTAATTGAATGACAATGAACAAAAATCAGTACCGGACTAATAAAAAACATGTTTAGGGACATCAAAATAAGGTTGGGAAAGAAGAAGAAGAACACTTTAAGTACAGAAACACAACTTAATAGACTGGAGGTTGTGTCTTCTTTTTTCCAAACTTCTCTGAGACTGGATTTGGTGTTAGATGGTTATAAAAACACAAAACTAACCACATTGCCATGACTTGTCATGACTAAATAAACTCAACATTTCTTTGGTTTTACAGTATCGGACCAGTTTAGCCTGCATTCACAATAATACATGCTGTGGTGAACTTTAAAAAAAAAAAAAGCTCATGCAAATGTTTTAACATGGAAAACACTGCGAGAGATAATGAAAACAGAAACCCAGTTTCTGGTGAGTGCCACATCATAGCATGAATAACTAACAAAGTAAAAATCAACAACAGGGTCATGGTTTCCACTGCAAAGGCCACGTATCTGATGGCCAATTTAAAGATTCAGCTGTATCATGGTATCAAGTAAAAATCAGAAAATGGACATAAACATAAACTGATCACTTATATGGTTTTGAAAGTGTGTTTCCTCACAGATGCATGCTAAAAGTTTTTGCTGTGAGTTTTATGGTGCTTTCAATGTGTGGAATTATTTATCAGGAAACAGAAGTTGAAGTTTTATTTTAAACCAGTCTTGAAACCATTTCTCATCAGCAGTACAAACGACACAAGCAGCTAAATTCTGACACTTGAGCAAACTGAACTTATGGATGGTTAGGCCGTCATTGTGTTCCTTGTTTTATTTCTCTTAGGAAGTCAACCAAACTGGACGAGTGATGGCTGTGTGACAAATATAACTAAACATGGCATTACGTGTCAGTGTTCACATTTGACATTCTTTGCTATCTTGATGGTATGTTTTTCTTCTTCTGTAATGATGTACAACCCCACTTCCAAAAAATGGGATGCTGTGTAAACCGTAAATAAAACCAGAATGACGTGATTTATAAATCATTAGTAAACCCACATTTTATTAACAATGTATCACAGAAAACATAAGAAATCTTTAAACTGTTTTGAAATACGAGCTCATTTTGAATTTGACTCTTTAGGCGATAATCAAATTGGTCACAATTTTATGTTGAGGAATGTTATTCAGACATTTTCCACAGTTTGTGGACTTAATTTTTTGCCCATTTATCTAATTAGCTACTATTACTGGGGCTGTACTTTCTGTTCGAGGCACTGTTTTCATATGAGATGTGCTTTGCTGTGCTTTTTGCAGACTCCTCTTAATGAAACCATTTCAGATTCTGATTTTAAAAACCTCACAATCATCACCCAAGTTGGCTGTGGACTCTCCATGTTCTTCCTCGCCATAGTCCTCTTCATGCACTTCCTTTCAAGGTAGTAAGTTGGGCTTTTTTTTTCCAATATTGAAGCATTTTAACTATATAATAGTCAGAAAAGAAAAAGTGTGCATTAATACAGATGACAACAGAAGAACAGAATAAGCTTTACAGAGAAAATCTGTTTAAAATTAGCTGATATAATAAGTACTGCGCTGTATAGGTCTCTAATACTTATCCCAGGAAGAAGATATAAAATCACTCTAAAAATCTCTGTAAAGAGAGAGACTCAGTAAAGAGAAACTGTAAAATTCATCATCAGAGGTCAAAATCCTTAATTGTGAATAGAAATATTGTTTAGGTTTTAAATCATTTGGACCTTAATATGTAATGTTTATTGCACAAAGGGGTATAAGAGCAAAGTCTTGCTGTTTAAGGGTAAGCAACTAAGTCTTTACCAGATTAATTCACAGCTCTCACTATAACTAGGTGATATATTCCTGAAAAAAACAAAACATGATTGGGATCTTTATGAATAAAATAGAGCAAAATTGTTATTGATGCAATAGCCTCAAACACTGTACAGAATTTTTTTTAAAATCTTGTTTAGAAAGACGTGCTTTCCTGGCAGCTGGTGTGATGAAGCTTCATGTAAATAAGGCTGCTTTCCAGGACAGTGGAACACTGTGATGAGGTGTTATAATGTTTACCACAGGGAAATGAGATTCATCAACAGGGGCCTGATGTTATGTAATGGAAATATCAGCAGTATGTATCAGTGTACATCTTATGCAAATATAATACTTTCCTTACCTGCCATGTTTCCTGGGGTATTTCTAAGTCCTCAGCACACAACCCTCTATGAATGAGCATTGTTTAAAGAAAAGCAGGTGCATGTTACCTGCATCTCTGTAGATGTATGACACACATCGGCTAGCCTACACGGGCACCACCTGCGTTTTTTGCCGTTAGCCCTGTGTGGGTACACGTGGAGCCCATGTGGGGGTAGTGCGGGTTTCCCAAGCCCAGACATCCTCACAGTTTATTCACAGCTACAAACTGTGATCCCACATGGTCATCTTTACTGAGCATTCAGTTACACTGAATTTGAATATGAGCATGCTGCTATCTCTATCGACAGTCAAATCATCAGTAAACACTAGTAATACAGTTGCATAGCATCCCCTCCACCATGACTAATATGTGACATTTTGCGTCATTCTGATACAAGTTAATATTGGTTTCGTGTGGCCGAAGATATTTTTCCCCCCAGTAAATTCCAGATATAACACTGTTTATGCATGTGTGCGCAACACACATGCATACACAGAGTTCTCAGTTGCACTTTTAGGTGACGTTTATTTACACACTGTCCAGAGCTGACCGCTCAGTTCTGCTCTGGAGCTCTCTCCTGCTCAGCCCAGCTCTACTCCGCAGTCCGTTCTCAGTCCATGCTGCTTCTCCCCAGGCCCCAGCAGCTACTGCAAGAGGTTGAACAGATGATAAAAATCAGCTGTGTTGGCCAATCTCCCCTGGCACTGTCCCCTGAACCCTGCTCGTGCAGCTAACCACATCCCACCACACCAGGTTCTTGGGGATCTTTCTGGAAAAGCTGACCAGGCCTTCTTGTTCTTGAATGTAACCAGTGGTTTGCATCTTGTTGTGCTGTGTAGATTCTTGTCTCCATTTCCTTTACTTGGTTAGATTTTGTGAAGTGTTCCTCTGCGGTCTTTTGATGTTCCTGAGCTGGGCAGAGTATTGCATCTATTTAAGAAAGCACCAGATTTTAGATTTGCAAACTCCTAACTTTTTTTGCTATCTCCCACATAGGTCTATTGTGTTTTTTCAGCTAAAAAATGGCACGTCTCTCTTATGCTAACATCTCTTTGGCCCTCCTATACAAAATGTTAACATTTAAAAGCTATAAAGTCCAAGGGTTTGAATCAACTTCAGGTATTATGTGTGCTTTACTTGTCATGAAATAACAAGGGAACGGGTCTTATTGGGCAGTGAAACTGATTGTCAGTCAATTTTCAATCTAAAATTTGAGCTTCTGAAAACTTGGGACTTTGTATTAAAATGGCTTAAAAAGGGAAGTTCAACTGTAACTTGAAATGATCGTCTATACTTTTTGTTTGAGGCTATATCACTTTTATCATAATTTCCCTTTAAAACAGTTATTTGTATGTAACATCTCTCCTACTTTTACTGTCTATAACCATGTTTATTTTACTGTATTTGCAATATGGAAATTTGACCTTTTGTGGTTGCTGATATTCAAAACCAAGTTTCTCTCAGAAGCAACTTGCCCTTCACATTTCTTTGACTGAATTTAACAGTTTGTAAAAGACTAAGCAGGCTTTAGTCTTTTACAAACTGTTAAATTCAGCGAATCTCCACATGTGAGAATATTGAATTTGTCAGTTTTTCCCAATTTATATTAATTAAAAATGAAATAATTACCAAAATCAACAAATACCTTGATTGCTAATTATTTAGACCCACAGGGCATTATTATTTCACGCTTTGTTTCCTCTCTGTTAATCATCTCCCCATACAGGCGGATCAAGGCCACTAATGCCACAAAGATCCTCATCAACCTTGTGTGTGCCTTGTTCCTGCTTAACCTCACTTTCCTGGTCAATAACTATGTGGCGAACCTGAACAACAGTGTGGGCTGTAAGATCATGGCGGCTCTAATGCACTATTTTATGCTGGCCACTTTCACCTGGTTTGCTGCGCAGGCCTTCCACCTGTGTCTGAGCCTGTATACAGGAGGGAAAATCGCAATCCATCGCTACATACTGAAAATCGCCATTACCAGCTGGAGTAAGTTTATGTTATAATTAAAAATTGAACATCTATAGACTTCTTGAAAGCTTCACTCTTTCCTTCTTGCTGTTTCACCTGATTTTTTTTCCCATTTATTTTTCCAGTACTGCCTTCAGTTATTGGGATTGTCCTGCTCTGCATTGGGAAATATGGTGAACAAGTCATCAGCTACCAAAACACTGGAAACGCTGCAGATAGAGTGATGATGTGAGCCTGCTATACTATTACGTACCATTACTATTCCATTAAATTTCATATTAAAATTCAGAAAAGCTGACTTGTCTTTTCCTTCTAAGGTGTTGGATAACAGACAACAGTGTCCACTTAATCATCAACATAGGCTACTATGCTTTGGTCTTCCTCTTCACTTTTACCACCTTCATCATCATGATGTCCTGGTTCTGTTGTCTCAGGAATGTCAAAGGAGCCAAAGCAAAAGGGGAGCAAAGTAGCATAAACATCTTAAGCGTCATGGGCCTGTGTTTCATGCTGGGCATTACATGGGGCTTTGCTTTCTTTGCCTATGGTGTCTTCCAGGTCCCCGCGCTCTACCTTTTCACCATCCTCAATTCTTTCCAAGGTACTGACAACCAGCAAGCACCTTTCAATCATTCTAAGTCAACAGTGTTGCATAATAGCACTCACAGGATAACACTTGATGTTTTTATTGATTAAATTCAGTTTTTAATATTAAAAACTGTGCATATTTATTTGAAAGAACAAAAATATTTCATGTTCTTCATGCAAAGTGCCTTTTCTCTATACACTACTGACCATGTCTCTCTGCTTGCCAGGTTTTTTCCTGTTTGTCTACTACTACAAAACCTCCCGCATGTTACCTCCAGCCTCTGATGGGAAGTCAAGCAGCGTCAGTAACATCACTGATAAAACCAGTCTAAGCAGCTTTACAAACCCCTACTCGAACTGGCTGAGCTGAAGAAACAGACACACTGAGACTGAAGACCCGTACCGTTAAGTGTAAACTGCTGTAAAACACTCTAATAGTTAACAACACAGAGTCCCAGTTAGGTTTGTTGATATTGTAAATACATGTTAGAAAATGGCTTTACTGTTAAAGGTCTTAATTTGTCTTGGAAGCAATGAACTTTGATAGTTTGAGAAAAATCAACAGAATATAATAAACCTTTGTCCTTCTTTTAGCCATTTTAAACTGTTAATAGTTATATAGCTCTAATCAAGTACTAAAGACTATAATAGCCATGACTACTAACTGGCCATATCTCCTGGCAAAGGATGTACCTCAGGTTGCACTTGGTAGCAGGTGAGAGCCTTGAACTGCTGCTCTGCTGCTTCTGATGTGTGAACGGGTGAATAAGAGACACATTGTGAGGCACTTTGTACAACCAAAAGTGAAAAAAAAGCCTCTATACAAGTGCCAGTCCCTCTTAAAAAACAAAACAAAAACACAAATTGGGTGACCTTAAATTTTGTACACTGACATAAGAAGGAATGTGGAATGTATGGAAATGGTTCTTTATTCAGTTTCACTCACACTGCCATCGAAATACATATCTGCAAATATATATACACAACGTTTACTCTTTAAATGGACACAATTTAAATTAAGAAATCAATGAAAACGTTCAGAGTAGAAGAGCTTCCGCTTCTTTGAGAGCTCTTTCCAGTTCAGCTGCTTCAGTGGAAAAGTTCTCCCTTTCTTGAACCATTTGTTCTCGTGCTTCCTTGAGGCCTCTCATCGTTTCCTGGATTTCCTAAAGGTTGTAAAAATATGTAAAAATAATAAATAAAACGTAACTTTTAGTGACCTGTTACTTTCACTGAGCAGAGTTTTACTCACCTCTAGTCGAGCACGTTGTTGTGATGCAATATCACCAAAGGTCTTTATTTCATTCAGCAGGTCTGCAGAGATGCTCTGAAATACAAGGAGTAAATATTTTAACCTGGTGTTTCTGTAAATGATTATATAAATCCTGTGGTTGTCTACAATACATGTATATTGGGTGCATTTATAATATTTGTTCTTTATTTGCACATTTATTTTTGCATGAAACAAACTAATAAGTGCATGCTTCTGGTTTTCCTTTATATTCCAGCTTGCGGTTATTTGCGTGAATATGATTTAAAGTTTGCTTAAATGTTTAACGAATAAAACCCAAGTGTAAACATATCATAATGTAAAGTGAAATCAAATAAACATACCATAACCTCTTTCCTCTGACTTTCATTCTGCCGTGCAGTGTCTCCAACTCTTTCGCCCAATACTAAGAATGAAAGATGTATTTCTGTTAAGTCTCTTACAGAAACCACTGAAGAAACTGATAAATATATTTTTGTATTTTTTCTACCTGGGTCTATTTTGGCAGTAACCAGAAGAGTATGGCAGTCTTTCAGGTTTTTCTGAACCTCTGCATTCTCTTTTTGAAGGTCACAGTACTGCAGCTCCAGCTTAGCTACTCTTTGCTGTAATAGGAAAATGAATTCAGAATTAAATAGAATATGGTAAAAAGATAACACAGAAGGGCTGTTCAGCTGTGGCTGATACCAAACATGGCATTTATTCCGCTTGGGTTTTTGGACTCTTTTGTGTCAGATCCATCCATGAAGTAGCCCTTTTGCATTTTCTCCTATAAACTTGTACCAGATAATGTTAAAGAGGACAGATGCATAAAGAAAAGAATAGGAATTAAGAGAGTAAGTAGCAGCCAGGTGCTGCTAATAAATGCACTTAACCGAGCACCAGTTTTAGTGCTCAGTTAAGTGCCAAAAACAAAACCTAATCAAAACAAGGGCTACACCTCAGATTCTGTAGGCCTGAAATAATCATATTTTAAATGATAAAGCTCATGACAGCACAATTTTGAAGAAAAGAAAAAAAAGAAGCATAAACTGGTTCATACAACAGGACAACAATCCAAAGAATAGCAGTATCTACAGCATCTACAACAGAATGGCTAAAAAAGAAAAGATTGTTCAAAGCAGTCAAAAGTTCAACTTCAACCTGATTTGAATGTTATGGTGGAACCTTAAGAGAGCTGTGCATAAACCAAAAGCCCACAAACATCAGTGGGCAGTCATGTGTGGTAGCGATTACTTTCTATACCTGTGTGTCTGTGAGGTTTTTCGCCAGCTCCTCATTGGCAGCAATCAAACATTGATTTTGCTCTTTGAGCTCTGCTTGTTGTCCATATCTAGTGAAGACTCTATGAAAATGTGCAACAAAGTTGTTAGGAAAAAAACCAAAAACCAACAGGCTTAAACAATACCCATGTTAATGATTATGAAAGACTCACGCCTTCTGAACTTTAGGAGCAACATTTTTCCTAAAAGACAAAAAAGTGAAACAAAATTAGAATTCAGCAGATCTAAAGTCTGGCATGTACTAAGATAATATACACATTTAGGCTTACTAGCAAACGTTTGATAGTCTTTACACTACATGATGCTGAATAGGTAAGCCAGGAAATTATCAGGTACAGTTTTGTTACCACAGTTGACTCCTAACATCACTAGGGAAACATTGAGATGCATGCACTTGGTAACCTTTATTTTTCTCATACAACTGTGACCATTCACACGGGTCATAATTTGTTACCTTGGTGCATTTTCTTTATGTGGTTTAAGGACACCATCTGGTCTCTGGGCAGCAGTGCTTGTTGTGGGTGCAGTTGCTGTGTCTTTGGATTCTTGTTTATGACTGTTTTTCTTTGTTTCTGTAGGGGGGTGTATACCTGGAAGAATGACAGTTGTTAACAAAATTAAAGTAATCCACTGAAATAACTAGAAAAGTTCAAATTCACCTCACCTCTTGGAATTTTTGAAGACATGACTGTTCCTAAAAAGTATAATGTCAGCAATAATAAAAGGCACCTGCATGGGAAAAACAACACAAGACAGTAAGACCGTATTTGTATCCTGGGTGTTTTCATTTCTTTTTTTCACTAAGATGTTGTATAACGGTAAAATAAAATTAACTGCTGTAAGAGGTTGTTGTTGGGTTTGTTTCGCATTCAGGCTACTCTAAAATCTTGCGACTGAGGTATGTAACAATAAACTTTCAATGAATGTAGACCAGGAGTGGGGAACTCCAGGTCTCAAGGACCAGTGTCCTGCAGGTTTTTGATATCACCCTGTGATATCGAACTGTTTTTAAGTCTTGTAGTCCGAGCAGACAGGCTCCTGTAACGTCTGCCAGATGGTAACAAGGAGAACAGCTGATGTGCTGGGTGGCTGTGGTCCTTGATGATGCTGTGTGCTTTACGGAGGCATTGCTGGAGATAAATGTCCTGAATGGCAGGAAGCCTCATGCCAGTGATCTGCTCTGCTGCCTTCACCACCCTCTGTAGTGATTTACGGCTGCTGGCAGAGCAGCTTCCATACCAAACTGAATCAAATGATTACTTCATTACCAGGCCTCTGGAAAACTTCAAGTCATATTGAGGGGGTAATTTAGCTATTTGAATCAGATGTATTGGATCAAGGACACATCCAAAACCTGCAGGACACCGGTCCTGGAGGCCTGGAGTTCCCCAATCCCTGATGGAGACAGCAAAGACTACATAAAACTCTAAACTATCTGGATATCAGTCATGTTAAACTACTTAAATCAGAAGTCTGACAAACTGACCAGATAATTCAAAAATCGATGCGTTTTATTTAAGTTTATATATTTCTTCACCGCAGCCTCACTGAGATCCCTCTAGGGGAGCTTGACACATAAAACTTTGTTAAAACGACCGACCTCTATGGAAAAATAGATATCGGTCGTAGTTTCTTCAATACTCAACAAATCAAAAAAGCAGTACTTAAATAATAGTCGCTTACTGAATGTGATCTAGGTAATTAGCACAATATCAATGCTTACCTTTAAGGACACTAAGTATACAAGCCTGAATTCTCAACAGACAAATACCAGTTGACAATTTTTAAAAACGTCCCGCCCTCTGCGACCATTTCCGGTTTTAACGTTATTTCCTGTGTAAATAAAATAAATTTTCAGTAATTGTGGTCCTCAAAAGATTTTTTTTTAAATTAAACTGAGTTATCAGTTTTAACATTTTAATTGACATGCTGTTGTTAACTACACTCCAGTTATCTAAATAAAAATTAAGCTACAGACGGACCTCAGTGCGCACGCGTGAAGGCGGCTAAATTCAAAACTCAAGACGTTAGCATCGAGACTTGTTCGCATTAGCTTCAAAATTGTTACGTATCGTATGCAATGTGGTTGAAGATAAACGATTTGAAAATGGTTTCAAGTTAGTTAAGAAGTAATAATAAAAAACGTATTTGTCTTAGAACGCCGCAACATCACAATCAACAATAGCAAGGTAAGCGCCGTAATGCTTCTTTGGTGTTCGGTTGTTTTCTTGTTTGATTACGTGAATGGGAAGCTAATAGTAACGTCAGAGTTAGTGGTTATCGGTCTGTCTATTTAAAATATGATTTTTACAAGGGGAAATGCAGAACGCTGCCTAGCTTTGTTTATTATTTCAAATAAGTTACGTTAGCAGTATTTATCGAGCTGCATTTGTTCATAAGGTCTTGGTAAACTGAATGACAGTGTAGTGGTGGTTTCCCATTTCATGGCTGCTGGAGAACAGTGGCGTTACTTTTGCACACCTGACAGGTGTGGCGTAGTAACTTTAAGTTTTCTAAATTTTTTTTAAATCAAGGTTGTAACTTACGGTCATGTGAAAAAGAAAGTTTGCACAGGACTCTGTGCAACTACACACCGAGATTCAGGAGCTTGCAGAACCACCTTAGCAGCAATAACTGTTTGTTGGCATTTGTTCATGTACAGCTCATAAGGTCTTACCCCAGCATTTCATTCTGCTTAATAAAGTCTTTTAAACTTTGTTAAACAGTGGTGAATTTATTGTAATTATTGTCAAATAAAACCATTGCCACTACTTTAGAAACAATTGTTTTTGTGTCCAAAGATAATGCTTCATTTTTACACTTATCAGGTCTGCTAATCCCAAATACCCAGGACAAATTAAAAATGCTTCTTAAGCAACATTTTGGGTTTCAGGAAGACACTGCAGAAACAATGATTTCTATATAAAGCATTATTTTATATCCGTACAGTTGATGATGGAGCCTCTGGATCCTCCAAAAAATAAGTGAGTGCGAAATTACTGTATTAAATAAAAAGGACATTGATATCGAGGCATTCCTACTTTACACCTTATGTTAACAAATGTATTGTGATATTTATGTAATAGTTTTATTTTTCATGCTTTGTGTTACAGTGAAGGCAGTGGATTTTCAAGGCGCCGCATTTCCTCGGTAAGTATCTTAATCAGAGGTGTGATTTTATTTATTTCTGTACAAATGAACTAAACTGTTTGCACCTTGTAATTTTCAGATTTTAAAAGCACCACGGAAATCAGCCAGGTTCCCTGACCAAGATCAGCAAGAAAATGTGGTAAACAGAGAGTCTGATATAAGATTTCCAACTGCCTGTGGCAGTAGACACCCTTAAGGTTTAAAAATTAAAAAGTGGTGATATAATTTAGCCTTTTTCCTCTTAGGTGGAACGTGTCAAACCAGTGGAAAAGAGGAATTCAAGACGAGTCAGTTTTGCCCCTGCTAATGACGTCCTTCTGTTTTCTAAGTGAGACACGAAGAAATGCTCCTTTTACAAAAAGTACCTAACCACAAGTTGACCTAATCAGCGCTCCTCTCTTTATAGGGATGTCAAAAATGCCTCCCCTGTCCGAAGCCCTTTGCAAGAAATAATAACAGCAAGTATGTAATGTAGTATTATGTATAAGAATGTAATTTTTAAAACTTTTTGTAATTTTTATAATTATATTGTATGTTATTCTACAGCAGGAGCAACAACCACACAAAATAGGTAAGGTGAAATGAGCTATTAAGGTCCAGCCTGTCATGTGAATTTCAAGTCTTATCACAAAGAGTCAAATAAATCTCTCACATAAATGCTTTGGATTTTTTTGTACAAGGGTGCAAGAGGGAGTCACTGAAGATGGGAGTGAAATAATTGGTAGGATCATTGTTTTCAATGTACTGTCCACATTATCTGTTAGATAGTTATAGAGATTGCTGTTACTAAATTCAGGTCTCCAAATGTAGGTATGGAAACTCTTTTGAATGCTCCTCTACATGTTTCCCAACAAAAGGATAAGGTAAATTTGAAGTCGATCTTTGCATTTATTACATTATTATAATGCTTAATAATAGCAGAAGTATTTTAACTTAACATTTGTTGTTCCCATTAACTGACCAAAGGTTGTTTACCTTTATTAGGCCACTGGAGATGACTTTGGGGAAAAAACAGTGATGTTTTCCACAGAAGATGCAGCCATGGACATGACCCAAAGCCACACTATAAATATTGCTGCAGACATACCTGAAGATATACCCCTTGACAAGTATGACATTTTCCCAGTTCTTGGAGAAAATCGCTTGATGGATGATAAAGCCACAGTCCCACCACTATCCACAGGCAGAAATGTCGATGTAAGCACATCATTGTCATGTTTGGATCCTGGATTTGAAAACTTCCTTGCAAGTCTGTCTAAACCAAGTGGCCAGAGCACTAATGCTGTAAACATAACGATGACTCTTCCTGCTGAAGCATCCTCTGAAGAAACAAAAGGCTCCCTGGTCCAGATTAAAACACAAAGGCCTAATTTGGATAAAGAAAATCAAGTTCCAGTGTCCGTTTCTGCTGTGATGGAGAAGACACCACATAACACCAGGAAAACTGGAGAATCCTCCTACAGGAGTGCACTCTGTCCAGAAGATGATGTGAGCATGGATATGACTGAAGCCCAGACAGGTCGCATCCTGGGAGTCTGTGATGATGACGATAATCCTTTCCAGTGTCTTTTTCCTACTCAAGACATGTACACCCATTCACAGATGAAACGGCAGCAGAGCAGTAAAGCATCAGGATTAACCAACCCAAAAGGTATCACATTTATGTCTGTCACTCAAATTAAAGGACAACTCTCCAGCATTTATACATCAGCTTATAAGTGATAAGAAGAAAATATGGGATGCCAAGCAGAGACGACAAATTTGTGTTCTGCCACGGTTCCTTTAGTGTAGACCATTTTTCATAAATATCTTGTCGTCTAGGCTCACAACTTTATGAAAGTCTAATACTAGAGCAAGGAAATTATCCCTGTATGCATTGTATGAATTTTATGCTTCATCAGTTTTAATGCTAATTGAATGGAATTTCAAATGGCCTTAATTTCATTTCACTTTTAATTATCAGATAAAGTGTCCTTGATAAATCCTCTCGTACCTGCTCCTCATCAAAGACATAAGGTAAGTTTGGCATTTCTTTTTTTTAAACTTTGCTTTTAGATGAAATAGAACATATAAGCAAGACATGCATGGGAGGTTTTGTCTTTAGTTGCTCGTAACATAGTATAGATTTAAAATGTTGTCTTTGAATGCTAATAATTGTTATTATTTCAAAGTAAAGTTTTGGTTGGCATGTAGTAATTGTTTGTGTCCTGTTCTTCAGGTGAGCTCTGATGCGAAAAACGAATGCAGAGAGAAGACAGTAGTGTTTGCTGCAGATGACGAGTTTATGGACATGACTGGGTGTCACACAGTAAACATCGCCTGTGGTCCCTTGGTTCCAGAGGAAAAATCAGCAGATATTGATAAAGAAAACTTGCCACTAAACACCACTCAAAATGTTAGAGAGCCTTTTAAAGCCGTTATCAGCTGTCCTGAACTAAGCATGGATATGACAGAAGCTCAAACTGGCCACGTTTTGGAAGGTGTGCGGGACGATCCTTTTCAGTTTCTTTTTCCACCGCAAGACATGTACACCCACTGTCTCAAGAAAGCAGATGGTACTTCAGGACAGCGGATAAGTGAAGCACTCAAATCATCTAACCATAAAGGTAAGGTGCTGTTCGAACCCTGTTGTTTCTGAGAGGGGGGAAAAGGGTAATCTAAAGTGAGGAGGAGCTTAAACACAATTTCAGACAGTAGATGAATTTAATTGCTGAACCAAGACCTATTGTAAGAGAGGGGGGAAAAAGCAAAACTGAACTGTAATCCATACAAAGTTACTCTACCAGAGCTTAAGAATAAAAAAGGAAATGACAGAAACTTTAAATCTTCATTTCAAGTCATGTGAATGCTTTTGTATTTAATTTCCTGAAATTTATTTTCCAAAACAGATTCTCCTTTATTTATTTATTTTCAACCAATTAATTAATGATTTCACTAGTTTTGCAGTGTTCTGGTTTCTTTAGCTAATCTATTTATTTATTACCCATTTCCACATTTAGGCATTGAAGCTTCATCTTCAAAGGCACTAAAAAATCAGGTGAGATTAAATATTTTTCCCTTTTATTTTTCAACACAATACTTGTTCTAGCTGGTCTGGAAGATAGAACATATTGCCAAATCAAGGTTGATATTTTGCTGTATACTCAAAGTATTTCCTTTCCTATCCACAGAACAAACCTGACATTGAGAACAACTACAGCGAGAAAACAGTGAGATTTTCTGCAGATGATGCCTGTATGGATGTGACACGAAGTCACACTGTAAATATCCACCAGTTGCAAGTACAGTCTGACCAAAATTTTGACTTTTTACCTGCTAAAGAGAAAACTTTAAGATTCACTCCAGATGACGGTATTATGGATAAGAATTATGGCCTCACTACAAACACTGCCAGTAATTCAGCGTCCAATTCAGTAAATTCTGAGAAGAAACAAGACCGTAAAATATGTGATCTGCCTAGGAACACATCTTTGTCAGCACATAGTTTGGATCCAGGGTCAAAAAACCTTACAGCTTCCTCCAGCATTAATCCTATGATTACTAAAATGAATTCTAATGGAAATGCAGTATGTCCCAAAGCAGACATAAGCATGGACATGACTGAAGCTCAAACTGGCTACATTTTGGAAGGGGATGCAGGCACAGCTACAGATGCCCGTCTTCAGGATCATTTTCCCACGCAAAGCATACACGCCCAAAGTGGTAATGTCAGAAAAGCTGACTGGCAGAACAGTAAAGCAACTGGATTATCAAGCTGTAAAGGTATGAAAACGGCAAAGTTATTGGGCTTTTTTGTTTGTTTGTTTGTTTTTTTTTACATAGAAAATGTACAGAGTGCCTCAGTTAAGTTTTAATAATTATTATATATTGAAGTTATGGTCAGGTAGCTGTTTCTCACTCAGTTTTACCATGTCCACCTTAAGGTAAAGAAAACTTCCTGAAGACTTCTGGAAACACAAAGGTGCAAAGAGAGCAGGTGAGCATAAACATGTCTTGATCTTTTTGTTAAGGTTAGTTTTATTCAGGTAGCTGCACCAAATAATGCCTTTGTTTTAACAAAGGATCAAATAAATTTAAAGAGACAGGGTCATTTTGGTCAATATTTGCTTTACATTAAAGATGTTTGTTTTATTTTTATCAAGTTTATATGGTTTCAGTAAGACATTTTACTACAAACCTGAGATGTCATAAAAAGTCAATCAAATAGTGAGGCCTCTGGTCTGTGTGGAAACATATCTTCATGAACACATGTGCTCTGCTATACTGTCTTTCTCAGGTTAAGCTTGATGTGGACGATGACTGCAAAGAGAAGACAGTGGTTCCTGTTGATGATGCCCTTATGGAAGTTACACAAAGTCTCACAGTGAACATTGTCAGTGATTTAGAACTGCAGTCTCACCAAGACACAGGCCTCTTACCTGCTAATGGAGAAAAGACAGTGAGGTTCAGTATACATGATGCTGCCATGGAGGTGACACGAAGTCACACGGTGAACATTGCCACCAACCTAAACCTGCAGTCAGATCACAATTCAGACCTTTTACCTCCTCTTGGAGAAAAAACTGTGAGGTTTGGTACAGATGATGCTGCCATGGAGGTGACACGAAGTCACACAGTGAACATTGCCACCAACCTTAACCTGCAGTCAGATCACAATTCAGACCTTTTACCTCCTCTTGGAGAAAAAACTGTGAGGTTTGGTACAGATGATGCTGCCATGGAGGTGACACAAAGTCACACGGTGAACATTGCCACCGATGTAAAGTTGCTGTCAGATCACAGTTTACCTCTCAATGTAGAAAAAACTGTGAGGTTCAGTACAGATGATGCAGCGATGGATATGACACGAAGTCACACTGTAAAGATTGCCACTGATTTTGACAAGAAGTTACATCAAAATGTGGATTTTCCACCTACCTCCGAAGAAAAAACGGGGAGGTTCAATGCAAATGATGGAGCAATGGATATGACAGAGTGCCTCACTGAAAGTATTCCAAGTGTTTCTGCGCCATACCCGGTTCTACCATTGCAAAAGGTTCTGCCCATCCAGGAAATCCAGGGTTTTTCTTTTAAAGTAGAGAAATCAAATAGTGAAGCCTGTGGTCTGTGTGGAAACACATCTTCATCAGCACATGATTTATATCAAGAATTTAAAAACTTGTCAAACACAAGTGACCCATGGACTGATATTAAATCACAGGACAATGATATACCATCCCCTCAAAAAGCTACTGACCCAAGGGACATACTGATACAGCTTAAAACACAGAAACCTGCTATGAATACTGAAAGTGAAGCTCCAGGTTTGGTTTCATCTTTCATAAAGAAGCCAGTAAGTACAACCATGATGGACTGTACAGAAATCAATTTGAGCATGGATATGACTGAAGCTCAAACAGGATGCATTTTGGGTCAGACGTGCACAGATGACCCCCTTCAGCGCCTGTCCTCCACACAAGATCCCAATTCAGACCATTTGCGGCAAACTGGGATTGCATCACAGAGGAGTGGTGATTTGGGGTTATCCAATCCTGATGACCAGGAAATTATGAATGTGCCAGATTCTCTTAACTCAAATGAAAGGGAGAACACAGAAGAACCTGAACCAAGAACTACAGCTTGTCTGATATCACAGGATATGGAAAGTTCACCCAAGGTTCCTGGAAAGGATGTGGATGCATTGTGCTCACGAAAGTCTAGACGAATCAGTTTAGCTGATATTCAGTCAAAAGTAAGGCGTTTGAGTCACATGATAAGTGCAGCTCCCAGTGCAGTCGTAACTGATAACTGCACTGCACCTTTGCATCATTTGGAACAAGACCTGGGGAAAAACTCAAAAGATGAAACGTTACCTGTCACTATGGCAGAACCAGAAGCTGAAATGGAATTGGTAAACACTGAAGACAATGCACGAGCTCAGTGTTTTATAGAAGCAGAGTATCCCAGTGATGCTATTACTACAACTCCTTTCAGCTCAAAGACCAAACAGCTTATGTCAAGAATCTCACTGGGAGGCTTTAAGCCGAAACTGCCCCAAAAATGCAAACCTGATGAGTCAAAGAGAGTGAAATCTTCAGGAGACCATACAAAGACGATCACCGTCAACGTTGCCAAGGAGCTGAACAACTTTGATGACGATGTTAGTGATATTTACGATGAAGAGCTGGATAGTTATGAAGATATGTCAGAAGCACTGGACACTAGGAGTCCTCAGAAAAGTCAAGAGTTCAACATGGTCGAGCCTTTAGAGAACACTGTGTTTGAAGAAGATGTCATTAGCCCTGTTCATGGACAAAAGAGACTTCTGCCAGAAGATAAAACTAATGTGGAGGATCAAAAGAGAATGAAAACATCCTGTGTGACTGTTGAAGTGGTAGGTCAGCTTTCTCTGTTTTACGTAATTTACCTTTAATATGGTTTCTTTTATCCCATGTGTTTTGTTTCTTCTTGTGCATTGCAGTCAGAGGTCATAGAGTGTGACAGTAATATTACTACAGCTCGTACGACTACACAGACAATAGATTCCTCCAGCAATCACACAGCCAGCATCAAATGTGAAACTGCATCTGAGTCAAGTAAGTTCTTATCTTTGACGTTGATGGGCATCATTAAGATCTTGTATTCCTGATTGAAATAATGTTTCCTTTTACACTATTATTATTAAATATCTTTGTTTTCTTTTGGTTTTGTTTTTTAGCTTTTAAACACAGCTTGTTTGAATCTCAGCTTGAAGACAGTGCTGTTGATGTGCAGATGGTAAGAAGTTTTATTTTTAAAAATTGATTTATTTGAAATCTGAAAATGTGCACTTGCCTCATATTTGACTGCATTCGATGCCTTGATTACAGAAACTCAAAGATGGCACCATAACGGTCTTGGAGTTCTTTAAACTCTTCGGCATTGACTTTGTCATCCATAATCCTCGGGAGAGTGTCCTTCCTGGCAGAGTAGGTCAATCTTCTGTGTTAAAAATTACTTCCCCATTATATACACAAAAAAAATATTATGTTATAGTGACTTCTTTTTGTTGTTTTTTTCAGTTTTTGTCAGACACAGAGGCCTCACCAATGGATTTACTGAAAGACCAACATATCAGTCGTCCTAAACAGATGGTTTATGAGACAGATGTCTTTAACCTCAACGAAAAGGTTGAAGGGTATGTGCACTTCAAGTTTTATAACATATACTGTACACATGATTAAACCTACAGAAATATGCTGAAAACATTAAGTAGTTAAATACATTTATTCATCTAAACTTGTGGTTTAGATCAGCGGTCCCCAACCTTTTTTGCGCCATGTTTGACAATATTTTCACGGACCGGCCTTTAAGGTGTCCTGGATAAATACAACAAAATAAAACCAGTACCGGTACCAAAAAAAGAAAATTTATTCATAACACACGGGGTAAGACCCAGAGAAACTGAGTGTAACCATAAAAACAATTTAAAAATTAACGTTAAAAACCCTGAAAACCATAAAATTCACACCTGAGTCTCAACACTCACAGCCCGGTACTAAACGACTCACGGACTGGTACCGGTCCGTGGCCCGGGGGTTGGGGACCACTGGTTTAGATGAATTGCGCTGTATCGCTGTAAACTGACAAAATCACAAGGAAAAACTGGGTGTAGCTTACAAACACAATTATAACTCATTAGAAATTGTACAATTCTTTTTATGTTTAATCTCAGACGTTACAATTGAAGTTTAAAAACATGTCTGTTTTCTTTCTAGGCTGAAGGTGCGAATGCAGGATCTAAACAAACCTCTTAATACTGTCAATAGATCTTTGTGGGAGGACATGAGATATGCTTCAGATAAAGAGGTATTAGTCATAAAGTTTTTTTGTTTTTTTTTATGTGATATGTTTACATTTATTTGGGCAGGATGAACATTAAGTAATTTACAGTGTATATTTTTTTTAATTGCAATGCATTTTATTTAACTTTATTTAGCTATTGGCCTTTGCTGTGTGCTTGTGTGTGACATGAATTTGGCATCTGTTCCCACAATTCACCCAATGCGGCGTTTGTTTGAATCAACAGCTGAAATCTTTCGGTGCTAAACTAAAGGAGAGAAATAACTTCTTCAGAAAAACAAGCAAAGTTCAGTCACATGAACTGAAGGAGGTTCTGTACTCAAATCTTTTGCAGGCAAATCTGGTAAGAACTTCCACACATTTAGAAAAAAAACACTAAAATGCAAAATTGGGGACTTCTTTGAATGCTAAATGAAATTGACATTGTTTTGTTTTGGGGTTTGTTTTTTGTTTTGGTTTTGTTTCCAGGAGGAGCAGCACAAGTTGAGAGGAAGAATTCAGGAAGCAGATGAGATGATAAAAACTCTGGATGACTGTATTTGTGAATTAGAAACAGGTATAGCTACTTTGAAAACATGACTTTCCTGTTTGTGATATACCACAGAGTTGCTCGTTTTGTAGATATTAACTAATGTTTCAGTCACTAACATATGTATTTCTCTATCGTTTGGCTGTTGCTAGATGAAATCGATCGCAAAGATGGTGCTGCACCGCAAATCTCTATGTGATTGCTTTTGTTGCTGGCACATTTCCAAAGTTGTCAGTAGTTTTGATGGAAGATGATGACCTGTTAGCAAACCTTTCTCTGGGGGCACAAGTAGGTTGGATGTGTTGCTCTAGCCTAACATATTCTCCTTCATTTAGAATTTGCTGCAGTTGAAGAAAAAGGGTTTGAAGACAAACCAAGTCTGAAGTCGCTGCAGGAAGGTAACTTAATACTGTTTCATCTATTTGTTTTTTATTTTACGTCAATTTAATTGAATAAGTCCTAAGTGCCTTTACTGGTTCATTTTTGTTTAACAGAAATGAAGAGAGTCACTGAGACGACGGCTGATAATGAGAGGTCGGTTAAAATTAACTATCCTTTTTTTCTTCTTCTTCGTTGAATTATGCAGTGAATGTTGAGAATTACCAGTTTTGAGCGGTCTCGTTTATTTCTTCTTTGTTTTCTTTGTTCCTGCTAAAGACAAATATCTGAACTAGAGATGCAGAAGAAGCAGAATTCAAGTAAAGTCAAAAGGCTTCGAGCTGAAACGAGGAACCTGGAGATTCATATGGGCCTTCTGAATATGTCAGTACCAAGAACATTTTTTACAGCTTTAGACCAGTCCTGTAAACAAATATGATAACGCAAAACTGGTTTTGTACATTGTTTACATCAGGATGAATGAATGGAAGCTCAGAGAAATGAGGGACAACTGCAGAGTCTTCACTTTCCTCCATGAGACCATGCATCTGCAGCTGGTGTTTGAAAAGGCCAATGGTATTTCTTTTTTTCATGTTTTCTCATACAGTTTAAAGCAGTTTCTAACAGTTGTGAATATCTTGTACTCATGGTTGCACCTCAGTCAGTAGTGTTTGCGCAAACCTTGAACAATATTAAAATTTAGATTTTGCTTAATTCTGTTGGTTTGGGTTTTGTTTTTTTTTAAGGCACACTCTAATAACATTGTTTTTCTGCTTTTGAAGGTAATGATGCCGACACTGAGCAGAAAATAACACACATCACTTTTAAACTGGAACTCGATGGTAAGAAAATAAGTACAAGAAGCATTCTGTGATGGATGGTTATTAGATGGTTATTCTTTTCATCCTACTTGCCATGCTAAATTAATGGCCTTTGGCTACCTTTAATTGCACTTATTATGAAGAATATGTACTGAAAGCAATTATGTTTCATACCAGATGAGAAGTCGCAGTGCCATGCACGCCTTGTTCACAAATTGGTCTCCGAGTACATTGAAGGTGAAAGTTGCTGGGTAAAGAAATACCCAACAAGAAGACAAGTACCAAAGGTAAGTGTAAATAAACACCAGATACATACAAAGGACAGAAACAGGCTCATGTAAAATAGGCCAGATACTTAACCCCGAGTTGCTTCCAATGTGAATGCGTGTGATAAAGCACTAGAGAAAAGTGCCTGTGTTTAATTGGATCAGGCCTGTGGACTGTTTCTCGCATACTTTTGTTGCATCTGCAGTGATCGCCCCCTGGTGGCCATTAAATCAAATGCCAGTTTAAATTACTCTGTTTTAGCTTAAGTGATGAGACCCAGAAGATATATGTTTATTGTTTATACAGTCTGTGGTAACGTATTTTGCCTGCTGTTGTTCCCAGCTGCTCCATGATGTCAGCCTGGTGGTGAGTCGCTGTCGTCTTCTGGGAGAGGAACTGCGTCTCCTGAAACTGTGGGGAGGGCTACGGCTGGATATACTCGACATCAGCTGCATGGACACAAAGTAAGAACTACAGTGCTTCACAGAAATAACAAATATTCCACTTTTTGATCCAAAAAAATCATTCACATCTGCATGCAGTTTTGCATTTTGCAATACTGAGGTGTATAACATTCAATTATTCTTCCAGAGTGCGCATTGTCTTCAGCACTCTGAAGAAATTTTCCAAATTTGAGGTAGTCTTTGGCATCTCTCTCATCAACCACTTCTGTGTCCTGCAAGTAGAGAGCTTTAAAAACTTAATTGGAAGCACAACGTAAGTAAAATTTTAATATAAATCAAGAAATTTAGATTTAAAAAACCTATTGTTTATTTAATGAATACTGACAGAAATGACCTTGTTTTATGGAGCATATTACTATTGAAGGTAACCGTGTCAAAGGAATAATATATTATCTTCAAGTATAAAGTTAAATTTTTACATTTTTGTGTATTTCTAGGATTCAACAGATTGAAGACATTGTGGCTTCGTTCACTCCCGCCAAGAACCTGCTGACAAAGACTGTCAGAAAGATTCATGAAGTGTTATTATGTTGAGACCAGGACTGAGTCCAGGATCACATTTTGATTCTAGTTGTTTGTAATTAAACTCTGTTGTACAGTATAGAGGGGAAAAACTAAAAACTTAAATTCTTTGTACATTATACTTATTCTTTGATTTGTAAGAGTCTTAGTCTGTTTCTTCTGGTGTTTGAAAGATGTGCTGTTTTGCTTTTTGCTGTACACACAAACAGTTCTCACTGTACAAAGCTGTTCTGTTTCTGCAGACTTTAATGTTCCAATATGGGCAAAAAAATAAAAAGATGAATTTGCTCAAATGAAAGCTATGTTGGGAGTCAAAAGGATTTGCAAACATTGAAATCCCAACTCTTTAAAAAAAACAAAAAACAACGACAACCCAGCATTACTGACTGCACGATTATGGTCACTGTAGTTTAAAGCATAAAACCCTATTATTGGTGTGGTGCAGTTTCCAGAGTTGCCTCTAGATGGTGGACATTACCCATCACCTGTTGGAAGTTTTTGCTGAACCTCCCACATGTAAATATCAGTATCGCTTCATTTTGTTTATACTGAAATGATTATAAGCACATACTCTTTCCAGGCCTTTTTATTAGACAGCAGTAACTGTAAAATAAACATGCTTTGCATTATAATGGCTGTGTGAGTATTTTGTGCCACATTTTCACCCAATTTTCTTTGTTTGAAAATGGATCACAGTAAAGAATAAAACAGAGTGTTGGTTAAATTGGCTGAAACATGTGACATGTGCTATGATCAATAATACAAATCAAAATGTGAAATTAGATTGCAGGTGAGTAGACACCACTGAGAATAATCCATCTTCATTAAGCTTAATTTAAAATTTCCATGACCTCAAATGATTCAATAAGTCTTTGAAATGGTCAGTATTTCTAATTCTTAGACATATTTCTCAAGCATTGCAAAGGACATAGGGTAAAAACTGACTTTTGCAAAACAGCTGAACTGCAAGCTTAAATGTGCTAAAGAAAGCTCTACAAATAAGGCATCAAAATGCATCTTCCTCTGCAACTGCTGTACTTTGGTTAGACTTCGGAGGTCACTATGGGTCTGAAATATATGGTGCTCTGGTAGCTGTTGCCTTTGTTCAGTAAAAAAAATCAAGATATTTAGAAAGTTTTGTCCCACATTTCAAATGATAGTGTTTGTCCTGAAATAAAAGAAACCTTTAAGATGTTATATGTAGTTTGTAGGTAGATAGAGTATGCAGGTTATGGACCTATATTATATACTGTGTCCCTATACTTTAAGGCAGCGGTTCCCAACCCCCGGGCCTCGGACCGGTACCGGTCCGTGAGTCGTTTGGTACCGGGCCGCGAGAGTTGAGGCTCAGGTGTGAAATGTATGGTTTTCAGGGTTTTTATTGGTTTTCAGCGTTATTTTTTTTTATCGTTAACTCTGTTTTCCTGGGTCTTTTCAGGTGTGTTATGAATAAATCTTCTTTTTTTCGGTACTGATACTAGTTTTATTTTGTTGTATTTATCCGTGATACTTTAAAGGCCGATCCGTGAAAATAATGTCGGGCATAAACCGGTCCGTGGCGCAAAAAAGGTTGGGGACCGCTGCTTTAAGGCATGTTTGAAGAAAAAAAAAATCATACTATACTCTATCTTACCAAAATTTGACTACATTTTTTTTTTTTAATGAAGCATCCAGTTTAGGCTAAAGGCTGCTAAAAAGTGGAACAGAGCCAGGATCTTGCCTGATCCTGGCTCTGTTCTCAGCCAAGACATGACTGACATGGACAGTGTCCGGAGTTCATCTGAAAGGTCAAACAGCCAGAGACGAGCCTCTAAGAAGACGGATGGGGGTGGGCAATGACAGTCTACTCCCCGAGCCCTGACATCAAGGGTCAAAGTGGATGTTTCCAAACCGTCACCCTCGAGTGAGCCACAAGGGGAGATGAAGTCCTCCCTTCCTCCCCCAGGAACAACGGCTGCTGTCAAACCAAATAGAGGACCGCAACATTTGGGTCTCCTGACCTCCTGAGGGTCAACTCAATTTGATTTTAATCGATCAACCGAAGGATTTTTCATTATGTGTGTGAGCGATTCATTCGGTCATTAGATTATCATACAACACTGAGAACAGGACCAAAGTTTTTCCTCAAGGTCACTCTTGTTATATTACGTGATTGAATTTCACTTGGTTTTCTTTTTGTTTTGCAAATACCTGAGAAGAAATGTGGCTCAGTCATTGCTTCCTTTCCTGCTTGAAAAGATTTCCTTTCTAACGTATTTACCAGTTTATTGCAGTTATGTGACCTTCTTATTAGCTGTGCAATTAAGTTGTTAAAAACAGATTCCAGACTTAATGTATTATTTGATTATATGATTATATAATTTGCTTTAAATCCTGTGACAGACTGGCAAGCTGTTCACGGTGTACCCTACCGCTCACCCCGTGCCAGTCAGGATATGCCCCCATGTGACTGACAACTGATTAAGAAAATGGATGGACGATCGATGTTTTAAATCTTATTAGCATGGCCTTTCTTCACTGTCCATAATTATGTGTTAGATATCCCTGAAAAGTACCTAATAATCCACTTTGCACAATTATTTACATGGGTATTCATCACTGTAATTTCAGTGTTACCCCAAAATGAAATAATGGTTACGGACAAATTCGGGTGAAAAGCAACTGAACATTTATTAAACCACCTGAAAGGTAAATAATTCAGATCAGTGGGCTTTCCTTTGTACTTAAACACATTAGAAGACTAGAGTCAACAGATCAACCAGCAGCATACAATGATATGATGCTGCTGGTGTAATGCTCACCAGTTGCCAAGCCATCAACTTTGCCACTAAACACTAACCTGATGTTTGTTTAAAGAGTAAGGCATAACCAATGTAATTCACAAACCAATGTGCTCCTCAAGAAGAAGAAACCAAAAATTAACTGGATTCAATATCTCAATACTATGAAAGTCTATGAAAGAGCTACAGTGCTTTTTAAAACAAGAAGTCAGTCACAAAGTGCTTTACAGAGCTTTTTTTTGTTTTTTAATCAACACGTAAGAACACGTAAGCATGAGTACAATAACACAAAAACATTATCCAAATGTCTGAATAGATGAGTTTTAAGCTAGTTTTTCAAAGATACCACAAAGTTCCAAAAAGAGTTTTACAGTGTTTCACAATTTTGGCGCTAAGGTTTGGAATCTACAGTCCCACTTAGTTTTTAGACAGATACGTAGAATAACAAAAAGGTCTACGGACTAAGGATCCAGCTTGAAGAAAAGTGGTGGGGTAGATCAAGAATATAAATGAGAGCCATAAAAGTAAAAAACACAATTTTAAATTGATACCTAAAGCTGACCGGAAGCCAGTGCAGACACTTTAAAACTGATGTGATATGAGAGAATTTATGAGAGTAAGTTAAAAGCCTCGGAGTGATGTTTTGGACAGATTGGAGGTGATTAATTAGTAATTACCACATGAAGGTGAGAACTAGAAGGGCATTTAGACACTTGGCAAATCCTCCACCAAGGATGATGCTGCTTTTTAAGTGATGCCCCTTCTTAGAGTTTTCTAGAACGTGATCGCGATCTATACCAAAATTTAATGGGTTAGTTTTTTTTGCTGAAACACAGACATAAAAACAACACTTCGCACAAAAGTTTACTGATTTATAAAGAATTCATTAGAAAATAAAATTGTGCTTGATTGGAGATGGTCCAAGTGAACCTAAGCATACGTGTTTCACATCTTTGTATGAGATGCACGGTATATGAGATTAAACACTTTTTCTTTCTGGGAGACAAATATAAAGTCACATTGTGATTTTGGATGAAATTAGGTGGTAGCATGTTGTCACTGCACCAAAGGCCTAATTCTCTAAAGTGGAACATTTGGCCTCATGTGGCCTCATTCAAATCTATTTATCCTCTGATCTAGGAGCAGTATTTCACCTTAGTAACCCTATCAGTGTCCTTCACTGACATCAGAAAGACGGAAGGTTTGAGGTAATACAATTGGTTTTGGATGATGGAAAAGTTCATTGAGCGTTTATTTGTATTTAGATCTAAATGCAGCCATCTGCCAGGCACACTGGAGAACTAGTCCAGAAATAAAACAGGCATGAAAATGAAGAACATAAGCACTTTATTTAGGTCTGTTTTCCAAATTTCCGTAACAAGAATAGGATTGTATGTAACTTTTGTATATCCAGCTGACGGGAATGAACAAAAGGGTTAAAGATGTTTTTTGCAACAGGGGATATGTGCAGGCTTTCTGCTGCGATAGTGTGTTGATGGTAGGGAGCTGTGTCACTACACAGTTTACTACTAAGCATTGTTGTTATCACCATCAGCCTCTCCCCACTTCCCACTCACAGCCTTCCTGCGCTACTGCAAAGCTAAGGTTGGGGGCATTGTTGTTAGGGGGCATTAGAGGGCGTTCTAATTGATCCTTCCAGGCAGGTAATTAGCTCTGATGGCATGTGCACCCATGGTGATGAGAATGACAGAGACATAGCCACGTCCTGCCCCTCACCCCAATCATCAACACTCAAATAAAGACTATGTGACCCATGGAGTTGCCACATTCTCTGGTCATTCTTAGGACAAGACAATAGGTCTGGCTTGTTAAAATAGGCTCCCTCTCAGCGGGGGAACACAGGAGCCACAGCAGCTGTCCCATAGTATAAAGCTTCAATAGTCTGAGCAACCACAGAACCTCCAGTACAAAGATTTGCTTTTTTTATACTTCTGTGAGGACATACAACATCTCATTAGGAATGAAATATTAAAAGTATTAACATAAACCTTCCCTAGATCTCCGCTGCTATGTGAGAATGTTAGAAAGGTTATTGTTCATAAGAATGTGAAAATTAAAAGTCTGTTTTTATTTAACGGTAATTTTACAATAGGGGTAAAATGTACAAAAAAAGGGATATTTGCAGTCCAGGATGTGGCATGTGATAGGACCAGAGCGAGTCATCCAATGTTAGACCACAGCTTTATATAATATAGACTGTATATAAAAGATGAAAGAATGATGACGTCACCCACTAGCTAGACAAGTCCTGTCTTGGAGCCACAAGCTGAGCATTTTGTTGTTTTGTCAGAATCTTAAGGTTTTGAATGGCCATAATGAGTAGAGGTGGGCGTGACTAAGACACTGAGGGACACGAGATATTCATATTGTTACGATTGGTTAATCTGAGAGTGGCTCCACTCTAAAGCATTTCCTGTTTTATTCCTCCTATTTGACTCCAACTGGAGCCAGAATTTGTAGAACAGACATTGTTTTCTTTCTAAAAAAAAAAAAAAGACTTAAAACAGAGACAAACAACTCAGCAAATGTTTACTGAGGTCATAGCCCAAAGAAGGAAAAGGATCATTTTTCCAATGGCTTCTAATGAATGAGCACTTCTTTTTGCTACCACAGGTGTCGCCCCCTGCTGGTCCCTGGAAAAAATGCAGGGTTAAGGCACTTCTGCATTGACTTGCAAAGAATGTAACATTCAACAGAAAAAGGCAAAAACTTTAGTCACGAAAAGTTGACATTTTATGTCAGAAAAAAACATTTGTAATAAGGTGATAATAAAACATTGAGAATTTATGTGTAATGTGCAGAAAAATTAAATAAAACACTAAAATATGCTGTATGTTAAGATACAGAAGTTCATGTGATTAAAGTAATTATTTTGTGCTGGGGTCGGCCTTGGGAGATTCCAAGGATATATGAATGGAAAGGAATCCTAACTCATCTATCAGATAACTTCCAGCTGAGTTCAACTAAATCTG